ACCTCACTTGATCGTGAGCCTGCCACCCGCTAGCATTAGCTAATTAGCTCTTTTGAACCCAAAACGTTTCTGCCTTTGTGTCTTTGCTGGTTTCTCTGATTTCCTCCACACCACCTAGATTAGCTTATTGTGCGTCAGTAAGCAACTTACTGTTCTAAGTGTGTCGTTCATCATCAAAGCACCGGCTTTGTCTCTTGTTCTGATCTGCCTCAGCTAGCTCTGTTGCCTCCTACACACCAGCTGCTAGAATTGACTGTTAAAAATAGGTTGCGCAACACACAAAAAAAGTTGCACAGCACAAGAAATCGATGATGAAATTTGTTGCCAACGCATTTCGTCATCGATTTTTAGCGATTTTATTGATTTGTTGTTGCAGCCCTACATAGATACCTGACTGATTTTGCAGTAGCTGCATTTGTTCACCAACATCACACCTAGAAATCTGCAACATGCACAAAATCAAGTTCAAAATATTTCTAATGTCTTTTAAAGCAACAAATAGTAGTGTTCCCCCAAATGCTGACCCTTTTGTATTTCTGCAAACCTCTTCTCTATAATTACTATGAGACTTGGAAAATCCCAGAACACTTGGATTTGTAACCCAAACCGTTTGCATCACCGTATTCTGACTGCAAACAAGATCCTCACAAAACCAAACCCACAGTCGGCGGGCTACTGAGTGGTTTGAACTTTGAGGAGTGAAAAGAACAGCAGGAGAACTGAGTGGAATCGGTGACACAACTTTAAAAGGTTCCTCGTATAAAACGAGGTTCCTGCTCCACGCTGGCAGCATCAAAAAGACAAATGAACGGCAACAAAAGGGAAAAGAGAAACTATTAGACAGCTGCAGCCGGTGGGGAGACGGAAAGACAGATGTGTCATGCTGACCCATATTGCTCAAAAAGAGGAGATGAGAGCTAGAAAACCGGTGCTGAGAAGACAGGTGTCTGTTCTTCATCTCTCCTGCATCTGAGGCAGTAATTGGTACAATCAGACACAACGGAAACAACACACAAACATATACCCAGACACACACACCTCTATATTCACACACACACTCCTGCCCTTCAGCATGCACCCTGGGGCTTTAAAGCATGAGAAGTTTGTGAGGGGTGTTTGCTACATCCCTACCAGCTGTGAGAGACAGAGACAGCAGGAGAGGGCGGGGGAATACGAGGTGGAGGTGGAGGTGGTGGAGGAAACAGTGGCAGACAGAAACAGAGAGGGCAAACAAGAGGAGAATGCACAAGAGACACACAGAGAGAGATGAGAAGCCACAGAGGGGATGGGGCGGTGCGAGGGGGGGGGGGGGGGGGTACACAGACGTAGGGCGGAGAGAGATGGAGGCAAAGTGACAAGAGTGTGTGAATGTGACAGGCAAGGAGGGAGAAAGGGATGTCTTTGAATCGCGGTGAGGGGGGAGACTAAGCAGCTCCAGGAGCGACAAAAGCTGATGAGCTTGATTTCAAGTGACAGAGGAGACACAGCCAACCATGCAACAGTGTCTTCATCGCACTCTTCCCCATGGGAAATAATAAAGTTAACGTAATTATTAGAGAAGTGCATACAAATTTAATCATGCGTGTTTTTTCTCTGATCTCATGATGGTAGAGAAAATATGGCCTTTTTGGACAAATCTCACAATATTGAAGGATCTGGTGTGATCTTTAAAGTGGCTATGGTTGCTTAGCTCATCTGCACCAGAGATGTCCAGCAGTGCTGCTTCAGGGATATCCTGCATGTTTTATGTGCGAGCATGTCCTTACTTTCTGCAGAAGTCACACACTGATTCAAATCTAAAGCATGCAGGAACAGAGACCGCCTTCCAAGTGAGAATAAACTAAATTGTGTCTAAATCCTCACACATCATTCCTGCTCCAATCAAGTCCTAATTTGTTTGTTGAAACAGTCCTTAACAAATGTCCTCCACTTTTAATAATGCTACACAAACTGTCACCCACCTGCCACCTGGCTGCTTATTTCTAGCAGCCTTTTCCTTCCCTTCCACTAATGGGTTCACATTTTCACAAGCCCTTTCGTTCTGGGAAGAGCAAACTCCAAAATAACCTCCTACGCACTGAAAATGGCAAATTTTTAAAACAAGATCCAGATTGAGCTGTAAGGCTTAAAGGGATAGCTGCATGAAAATACAGATTTACAACCTCTGGATGAGAGTTAGAGCTGTGTGCACCAGGAAGATGATTTCAGTCTGAGCTTGGGTCTGTGTCTGAGGCGTTTGCATGCTTTCCCTGTGGATGCACCATGCAGAAACACCTTTACATCAGGTTTTCCGTAAGGTATATGTTGGCTTTATTGTTTTTTGTGCAGCTGTGAAGAAGGTGCAACCTTCCTGCATCACAGCATCAGAGCAAGCAATAGATGAATAGGAAATGTAAAATGTCATTAACAGATTTGCTTTTTTGAAATTCAATAAGATTTACAAGAAGATCAAATTTGTCTTGACTTGTGTGATTTCTTTCACGTGACTTCAGATCAGGACAACAGATTTTCCTGAAAAGAACACCTCCACGTTTTCCCTCCAAAATCTTAAAGCTCAAACACTCACGTAAATCTCCCAAGGAATAGGGACATATTGTAGGAAAAGACAAAAAGAGAAAAACAAAAACATGATTTATAAATGTTTAACAAGAGCAGGAAGAGGAAATGAGATGTGCTTGGAGGAAGGAGAAGCGGGATGCAGAAAAAGCACAAAAGTGAAATCTGGTGAAAAGAGGAAGACAACGGCAGAGGAGATGGGTGAGGAGCAGATTCGGTGGCTCCTAGAGAAGGAGATGTTGAGAACAGTCTAATTATAGAAACAGACAACAGGGCACGGCTTGAAAACAACACAGACAAGGAAAGAGGCCTTTTTAACAGGAAAAAAACGGGGATAATAGGAGGTGTCTGGTGTTTGTCTAACACAGAGAGGCTAGTAATGATCCCATTAGCACTTCAGACCAAGATAGAGAGACAGGAAAACCACGGAAGAAGCAGAGAGGGAACGGGAGGCAAATGGTGTGAAGGGGAGTGATACAAAAAGAGATCAAGATGCAACTTTCAGCAATTAGAGCAGCAAACAAAGAACCGCTAAAGCAAGAAGAAACCCTCCCTTGCACCGATTATACAAATGCCACCTCTGTTTCTTCCTGCATTCCCCCCTCGACTCACCCCTTTGGCCTTATGTGTGAAAGGATGATTCAAGTGCATTATTGCCATGCCTTCTCCGGTGGAAAAGCTGCAGATCGTGTCAGGGCAGGACTCTCGTCTGGAGCTGATGTCGAGTGCTGACAGGACTCTCTAAAAGCAAAGCCCTCGTTCTCACAGACACACATTACAGGTCCACGGCTCTGGCTGCCATACTGGCATGGATCCTCTCGTCTTTCATGGATCTGCCCTTTTAACGGGAGTGATTATGGATGCTGCTACATTAGCTGGATAAATGAATTCTGATGAAGTAGGGGAGCAAAATAGAAGCATCTGCACATGCTCTCACATGGAAAATAAAACAGCCATATTAGTAATAGAGAAATATTACTTTGTTTGGCATACAACAAAACCTGAGGGGTATTCTCTTGAGCTACGATGGAAGGATTCGATTGCTCTGCAAATTCCTTTCAAGATCTCAGGTGGTGGTTCTGGTATCCCCTAAATAAGGAGGCTCACTACAAAAATGTTCAAATCTTTTGCTAAATGCGTTTTACCTCTTTCTAGACAATCAAATAGATATATATAATAGACAGGGACACACACACACACGCGCGCACACACACACGCTCGCACGCATGCACGCACACACACACACACACACACACACAGAGTGGGAGGCAAAGAGCATTCAAGCTTGTAAACGTCTAAATTTCTCTTTTCAGCAAAAAGTCTAATGAGGTCACAGAGGTCACTAAGGTCAACCACTTTGCTGAATCACGTTGAGTCTAAGTTAAGTTCCAATACTGAAGATGTGACAGCAAGGTGCAATAAAAAATCACCTGTCATTTGCCCACAGACAGACAGACAGACAGACAGACATGCAGCTCAGCAGTCTGTGTCTCATGATTGAGATGCAGCCAGCATTCTGTCACGATCTGTGCACATTACCAAGCTGCAAACTGCGGAGCACATTTTGTTCTTACTCACTCGTCTCTGAGGACCAACTGCCAAGTTTTCTGAGTGTCTTGGCGGCTGCTTCTCCTAAACAAGTGAGATTTTGTCGTGTGTGCCAATTTCAAGTCTGCAGAGATGAATATATATGCCCCAATTTTCTGAAGGAAGTGAATCCTCGGGGACAGGTGACAGCACGAGGGTAATGCCACTTTCTCACTCAAATGCATGCATGTGCAGTATGCACACACACAAACCGACGCATAGTAATGCTCATGCATACACACACACACACTCACACACATGCACACACACACCATCTGGGGAGTTTTACAACTCAATAATCTTCTTCCAAAGGCACACCTTTTCCTTTACAGCTCAACACACACCAATGAGCTCTCTCTCTCTCTCTCTCTCTCTCTCTCTCTCTCTCTCTCTCTCTCTCTCTCTCTCTCTCTCTCTCTCTCTCTCTCTCACACACACACACACACACACACACACACACACACACAAACACACACACAAAATAAACCAATTCTATTTCGTCTGCAAGAGCTGTCCTTACAGTGTAGAGGTGATGAAACCCACATAACACTCACAAAAGGCATCCATAATCTACATCTACAGCAACTCTCTTACACACACACACACACACACACATATAGACTTACTACCCTGTGGACGCTGTTCTCTTCTAAAGTAGCACGTTGCTTTTTTTCCCCAGTGAGTAGGTCATCCTCACTAATGCATTTAAAATAAGTCTCCATATGGATTTACATTTCCACGAGAATACAAAAAACATCTCTATGCCGTCATGTTTCTGCTCTGCAATTTCTGCCACTTTTTTCAGAATCACCCAGATTTCTATCCTCCCAGCTCCCTGCTGCCACCATCGCACTCACGTTGGCAGACGTCCTTGTTCTCCTCGAAGCCCGGCTTGCACACACACCTCCCGATGGGGACCAGCCAGCCTCCGTCAGCACTGCAGTACATCTTGGGAGCCTCAAACTCCTCAGAGGAGTTCACGCACATGCCGTGGACCTCCACCAGCGCCGTGTCCCCCCCTGTTATCGTGTCAGGGAACTGGGCCAGGTTCAGCACCGTCAGCGGACACTTCTTGTAGAAGACCCTAACTGAAACCAGAGCGATGCACGCACCCAGGTCCTGGAAGGCCAGGTAGAAACCCTTTTTACTCAGATTACTGATGTCTCTCACTTCAGTGTTCAGTTTCATGACGCGATCACCGACATCCACCTGCAGATATACAAAATAGTAGAAGAAGCTACATTTAAGAAATATTCCTTTAAATATTGAATAAAATACACAACTGAGTATATAGTTCATACAATAAGCCTTAGATGTGTGCGTGTGCGTGCGTGTGTGTGTTCATACTTGTGTAAAGCTCTCATCTGCAGCAATCGTGTCAATCTTGACATACTGGCTTTCCTTAATGAACCACACGTTGGCGTTGTTGGATTCATAATAGTACATGTTGAAAGTCTGCAAAACAAACAGGATGCGTGAGTTTTCATATATTCAAAGAAAGTCAAATAATTCAAATATTTAGACTTAAAAACTTTAACGGGTCAACCCGCTCCATTACTATTCAGTCTGCACAGAACAAACATCCATCTAAACGCTGAACTTCTACTGGAGTGTGTGGGATTAAATTACGGAGAGCTACAGCCGGAGGTCACTTTTTTGGGCAGATTTTTGAGAGAAAATATTAAAACTCAAGAAACATCAAACGTAAAAGCAAGCAGGAAGCCTTGTTGTACTCTTCTGAGAGTCGCCGTTTCATTTTTCCTCACATGCTTGAACCAGTTTTTCTGCACATTGAGTGAAAAAGGCAGAAAATCTTTCATTGTGCTTTGATATAAAACACAGTTGTGTTCAGCTGAAGAAAAGGACCCATTCAATCAAAGTGGTAATTAGATAAGAAAGGATTTTAATTTATTTTTCACAAGCCTGACATGAATAAACATGTTAACACGCTGTAAGCCAGGCAATAAATACGCAGAATGCTGTCTAATCTCATGAAATAAACGCGCTTTTATTTGAAGATTTGTGCAAAGAGGTTCCCTGCAGTTCAAAACAAAACAAAAAATGATTTTTTTTCCCCTCTGTATTTTACATTTGCTAAGGAATTATTTATTTCAGTGTGCAAATGTTCTACTTTTGTGCTCCAATAAATGTGACATGTTCTTGATAAATATAATATGTTTGCACACATTAGAGCTGTCACAGATAAAACTGATTATATAACATTTGTATCAAGTGAATATTCTGCAGTTTCGGCCTCCTTCCTGTTTCAGATTTAACTCTGATACTGATCCCATCCCCAGAAAGGAAACACTTCTTTTTACGTTTCTTCTTCAAAGAGCAGTTACACAACAGCACCCTCGGAGTGTGACACAAAAACCAGCAGGAAACTTGTTCTTGAGTGATCAGAGGTGTAGCTGACGGTTCAGACCTCTTTGCAGGTACCGGGGACCCCGGGCAGGCTGTTACAGTCCCTCAGAGTGAACTTGATCTCGATGTAAACCCGCTGCGCGCCCTCGCGGCTGATGTGCCGCGTCCGCAGCCAGTTGTTCTGGTTGGCTTCCATGACGTTGCACACCTGATAGGTCCTCATCGGAGTGTTCCTCTCATCCATCACACTGATCTCCTCCCACTGAAGATGAAAAAGAAAGATGGCTTTTTAATCAGCTACCAGCACAATATTTAGGAGGCAGATTGGGCTCTTTTGTAATCAACACACGTTTTATATTGAGGAACAAAATCAGGTGAACGGGAACAAAGATGTTGGGATAAAAGCAGCAAACAATTTAGAGAAGTCCAAGACAGAAGACAAGATAATAACAAAATAAAGTCCCATTAGTCATCATCAGACCCTGGTGAAATTACCCATCCCCGCGGGGAGCAGTGAGCTGCAGCTGTGGCTGCGCTCGGGAACTATCTGGTGGTTTAACCTCCAAACCAACGCATTAATGCTGAGTGTCAAGCAGGGAGGCATTGGGTCCCATTGTTAAAGTCGACCAGGATTTGAACCCTGATCTCCCAAAACTCTATCAATAGCCTGAAAATAAATAAATAAATCTAGGTGATTCTGATTATTAGAAATAGAGAAAATTATTAGAATATTGTGTTGTAGAAATACAAAAATGGAAGCATGACAAGGAATAAAGACTAAATTAACTCTTTAATGTTTGGGGTTCAAGGGTTAAATATGATGTAAAGTAATCAATTCGCAACAAAGTATTAGTAATAATAATGTTAAGGTACTTATAGTGTGCATGTTTATTTACTTGTTTATTAACTTGTTTATAATAATAATAATCATCATCATCATCATCATCATCATCATCATTTGTTGTATTTTTTATTAATATTATTCATTACATTATTTGTATTTGTAACTGATTTTATCTTTTATTTTATTTTTCATCAGGTATTAAGTTTGGTGCTTCAGTAAGACTTGGGGCCTAATGTGTTTTCCACTAAGTGGTTGAGCGACTGTTAAAATGACTAAAGTAATTATCTTATGCCACAGTTTTTGACTAAGATCTAGATCCAGCTATTTTGGTCAAGGACAAAAATAAAAATGATGTCAAATGTTTAATCAATCCTTTAGCCTTTGAAAAGTGTTGAATGAGTGTCACTAACGAGCAGCTCAATGCAGACCAAATGGACTGTTGTTTGAGTCTTGTCTAATTTTCCTTAGCTGAGGCATCCGTCTTGGATTGGGCTGACTTGAAAAGCGAACCAGCTGACGATGAACATCCAAAGAAGACGCGCCGAAAGTTTCATGAATATCCATCCTGTGGTTTATTAGGAATATGGCAAGCAGCCAAATGGAGTTGATGCCCAAAGGTAAGACCAAAGTTATAAACAAATATGTCATCCAGTGTGAGTCTGTGCTGGGGATGAGTCACAGCTCCAATCATACGAATGCTGCCATCAGTTTCTGTAGTTGGATACATTCTGGTGATGAATAATATCAGTTAGCTGTGGCTTCTTTCTTAAATCCAGTTAACTCCCAAAGTTAATCATCTGTGGCAGTCCATTCACCAGTTACCCTCAGGATCTTATGAAAAGTTGATCAGTAGTTACTGAGAGCATGCGCAGGCATAAAGTCAGCGAGGGAGGAAAATAAGAAGATGAGAGCAGCAAGAAAACAGCTGCAGATGAAATCTCTCATCAAAGACCAAAGTGATATCTCAACATGACTAGCTAAACAGCACCACTCGATGTAATCCCATCTCACCGTTACTCGTCGGACAAAGAAGACGTTGCACGAAGCATCGCTGAGAGGAAAACTTGGCCCAAGTTCAGTGAACTGTGGCTTTAGAGTCAAACCGGCACGAAGCCTGTGTGTTCTGTTTTCATGTCTGGCTGCATGTGAGTGATGATCTGTGTCAAGATGACTGAAGGAATGTCTTTGTCCACGCTCCACATGTGTGCAGAGTCAGTGTGTTTTTCTAAAGGGAATGACTCACTTAGAGCCGAAGAAGCAAAACAAAAAAAAGAGAGAGAGAGAGCATGTGTATGTGTGTATGTGGTGTGTGTGAGTGAGGGACTCAGAGAGAAAGTTAGAGTAGGTAGGACAGAGCCACTTTGTCTCCTGTCATCTGCTGCCATCTGTTTCCACTTCTGACTGAGGCTGTAATTGAGAACACTTCTCGCATGAACAGGAAAACATTTCTATACACACACACACACACACACACACACACACACACACACACACACACACACACACACACACACACACACACACACACACACACTAAACAACAGCGCTGACACGTACAAACAGAGAATGTTTCTATTCCTTAAAGACACGAGGGGAGAAAAAAGAAAATAAACCAATGTGGTTTCAGCATCTCTGGATATCTGATCTATTCACATTATGGTTGAACTGATTTTTTTGGACGTGGGCAGCAAAAACACTCACACAGAAACGGGATGAGTCTCCGACTGCGGCGAGGTATGAGACAACCACCATCTTTGTTTTGAGCTCCTGTCATCATCTTAAAACTGAAGCTTTGACCTCACAAGTGAGGAGTAGATGCCACTGAACAGCTGTGCTAAACCTGTTCACAGTAAACGCACCTGCAACCTTTACTGAGTCTGAAACAACATCACATTAGAAGATGTGTTGTGTTATTATTTTTTTAAAAGAACAGCAAAACGACTAGGGCATGTGTCTTGGACGGAAAACGCACCCCTAACCGACGATCAGAGGCGGCGTGAGGTTTACCATCTCGCCCAAAACGTGGTGGAGGAAGCTGGAGTCAATCTGATGACCTCCACATTGGCACACGACTACTTTCTCCCCTAAACCACAGCTGCCTTCATGAGGCAGATGCCAAAATATCAAAGCCACTGTCTGCGACAGAAATGTGATGCAGAAATCATAGTTTCTGTAACTTTGGTGACAAAATCCAACCAGGTATGAGACAAGAACAACTAAATCACCTCTCCTGGCCTGAAATCACGTTCCTCTGATTTCCATCAGCCCTCATGTCAGACATGTGGCCATCTTTCCTAATAAAACTGCTTCAGTAAGTAAAGAGAATGCAGTAAAAATAGAAGAAAACTGAATAAAATGTTCTTTTCTCATCAAGTCCCAGCATGCAATGTGTCAGGATGGTCAACAGATACAAGAAAAGGTCCTTTTGGGCATTTTTAAACACCCCCTCAGTGTTCTGACAATAAAGAAATGTCAAATGAGTGTTCTGCAAAGAAAGCAAAGAAAATGAAATGAAACTTTCTGTCAAACAGAGACTGAACAGAGACTAGACTCATAAAGTCAGTCTGATATGAAGGCTGGACAATGCATTTAAAATCTGATTTGCCAGCGTTAAAATAGATCCACATCCCAGAAAAAAACACACATTCTAGCTTTCTCCCTCACACTCAGATGTTTTTAGTCTCCAAGGCCTCCACCGTACAGGAGTTGGAGCTCAGACCAAACCACGCTCCTTCGGGATCCATCAGTTCTTCACCAGAAGATGGAAAAAGAAGTGAGAGAAACACCATAGAAGAACGAGAATGAAAGGAAAGATTCACAATTCTGTTCAAAGCTGCTGCAGCCAGATAACACGCACACTTCTCTCAAACCAGCTGCAGAGCACAAAGGATGCATCACTGAAATCTTGCGTTACAATGAGCGAGGACACACAACCGATAGTCGCTGTGATGTGCGACACTCGATTTAATTAAAGGAACAAAACACACGTCGGAGGGAGAGAAGGAGAGGGAAAGGAAAATAAATGTTGGTAAATTACAGACGCCTGGCAAATAAATAGACCCATCTGTGCAGAGCCGAGAGCAGTCCGACATCGCAGGACGGTCACACACACCCACCCACCCACACACACACTCACACAGCACAGCCCCCAGGGATTGGTGATTAAAGCGTTTATGGGAATAGTCATTGAGGGATAAGGAGGACTTTATAATGTCTTTGTTTATTTCTTTGTGGGCAGAGTTTGGAGTGGCTGGATTAGCGCCACTTCCTGGTGAGTAACTTATTTCCCTTGCTGGCGAGTCTGTTCATCATCACTTTAGCCTGGCGTGCAGCACAGGTGTGCATAAAAAACTTTGTTGCCGCCACATCTGCTAATGACACAGCAGCTGTTAGAGGGATAATCCACAAAAAACAAATGAAACTGCTGGGTTAAAGCTCCCGTTGTTGTTCAGCTGCAGCCTGCACAAACACACAACAACTATAATGCGTAGATTCTGTCCGCGTACGGATTAGCATTCGGAGTAAAACCCTGGGCCACCTCGTCCAATCAGCAAGAGCCTGCTTGATTGCTTTGAAGTGAAGCAAAGATGTCAGATCAGTGTTTTAGTCCAACCATTCACCAGCTTAAACAAATGTCCTTCCTTCAGAAATCATCTGATTAGACTGCCTACATGGACGTAATTGGCCTTCAAGCTCTGGGTTACCGGGGATCAGAGCAAAGTAGCAAATGACGAGAACATTTAGGATAAATCTTAAATGAAATATTTTAAAAAGCGGCAGCAAAGAGGGTTCTCACAGAGAGCTGAACGACGTGGGGCCTCCTAATCTCAAACATCATTAAAGCGTATCTGTTTACCATCCGACATGAGGAAAGCCACCACATGGTGACAGAAGTGGGTCGCTCCCTCCAGGCTCAGAGACATCCGGCTCTGCACCGCCTGGATTAGGGGTGACCCGTGAGAGTCAAGTGTCGGTTTGGACTAATTCAGGTAGACACTGGTTGCATATTAGTGGGAATTGCCTCTGAATGGGAATAATCCTCAGGATTAAGGTTCAAAGGTCAACTAGATAATTCTTTGATATGAAACACAGGAGCTTCTTACAGCCCTGGCACCTTTTTAGTCACATCATATCACCGTGGAGGGATTTGGTTTTTTAATTTAAGCACTAAAAGAACTTTAGATTAATTTTGTTGTTTTCCTTTTACGTAAAAACAACAGAATTAGAATTTCTACAGATACAATCTGAATGGGTTACCTACACAAAACACCAGTAAACCAAAAGCAACAGACAGTCTGTGGCCACTTTATTGGGTACACCCATTCAATCAACACAACTAAGGAATTAGGTCATTTTTGAACAGTGACGTGTCCAGGCCTTTAAAACGGGGTGGCCCAGGTGGGGTACTTGTTTATACATGGGTGGCACCTATGTTATTATGCATTTTTCTTTTTTTTGTAGGGGATTCTTCTTCTTCTTCGGCCCAATGCCAATACTCACACTTTCACGCTTGCGCCCTTCAATCGGGCGATCCCGGCCAGGGGTGAGACCGCTTGATGCACCCTTGATCTGCACTTTACCCAAGTCCCAAGGGTATTACCCACAATCCATTGCTGCAGGAGAAAAGGCTCAAGTGCCTTTTCTAAAAACATGTATTTTCAAGTGAAAGTGGTTAATTTTAGGACGATTAATTGATGCTGGGACAAAGCAGAAATGAATTTATTTCAATTAATTGGTTGGTTTTTTTGAAAGTTAATTAAAGTTTTTCTTCTTTTTCTTCTTCTTCTTCCACTTCTTGCTGTTTTGTGGTTTCAGCATGCCACTTCTTGGTAAATTACTGCCACCAACTGGGGTGGAGTGGGAATGAGGCCAGGACTGTAAATACTGTTTATTTCAATATAAAATAAAAATACTACAGAAACGTTCTGCTGGCCTGGGTCCAGAAACATGTCAAACAAAGCAAAAGGTAAATGCTGCCAGAACTGTTTTGGGGTTTAAAACGCCAAGCCTGTTGTGGACATGTAAAGTTAATTTAAAAGGAACTCAGTGGCCAATCAGATTTGAGGTAACATGTGCTACCCCAGGCCTCTGTGTTTGAAGCGTATACATATTAAATATAATTATTTGCTTTGCCCACTATGAACTTTATCACCTGCATAACAACCCAGGACAGAGGAACCTGTGGATCTTCTTGTAAACATACAAACAACAATCTTGTGGATTTTGTAATCGGATAAGATTGGATTGAACACAAACTGAGGGTGTGCAGATGTGGCCGTGACCTGCTTGACAATTTGCTGCTTCAAAACCAAGCATGGATACAATTTTTATTTAAAAAATTCCATTTTTATTCCAAAATTCCAGCTAAAGTCTGTTTTATTCTGCTGTAAATGCATCCAAGGACAACTAAAAACTGTTTCCAAACCGATCAGAGTGAACTTTAAGATGTTCTGATGAAACTGAACCACGCTGAAGTTTTAATCTACATCTTTTTTTCTAGTTATTTTAATAACTTGAGCGTGACAAAAATCTCTTTCTAGAAGATTAAACCCTGTGATCTTCACTTGAGTCGTATTTTTGTAATGAACCTAACTTATAAAGTCAGATTAGCAAAATTAAAACACATTTTCTACACACAGATGGAACACATTATGTCTTTTTAAGGACCTCAGTAAAAAAAATAAAAAAATAAACTCACACAAGCATCCATCAGCAACGACCAAACTAACAGAGCATTTCATTTGGGTGAACTTGATACACTCCATCGCTTGAGAAAACAACCCCGCTCAACTCGTGTCACTTCAGCTGCCGACACGTGAAACTGCGTGTGGCATCCTGCAATTTAACACACTGATGCTGAATAGTTGAGGAGGAAGAGAGAAAGAAGTGTGACTCAAGAGGAAGTAGAATTAATTCAGCGCCGTTCAACGGCTCCGACACTACAGCGACATACAGATCCCGCTCTGTTGAGCATCGCCTCTTCCTCTCTACACTTCTCAGCTGTCATTTTCTGATTCATGGTGACTGC